TCATTCACCAGGGGGTGCTGCAGCACCCTCAGCACCCCTACTTCCCACGGCCCTGAAACCTTTAGTTATTTTGCAGATTTGGATTAATTTCGTCACCGTTGTGACGAAAAGGGAGCTGAGCCAGAAGGCAAAGCTCTCTTTCTACCGCGCCATTTTCGTTCCTACCCTCACCTATGGTCATGAAGGATGGGTCATGACCGAAAGAACGAGATCGCGGGTACAAGCGGCCGAGATGGGTTTTCTCCGCAGGGTGGCTGGTGTCTCCCTTAGGGATAAGGTGAGAAGTTCGGTCATCAGGGAGGGACTCGGAGTTGAGCCGCTCGGAGTTGAGCCGCTCCTCCTTCGCGTCGAAAGGAGCCAGTTGAGGTGGTTCGGGCACCTAGTTAGGATGCCACCTGGGCGCCTCCCTAGGGAGGTGTTCCAGGCACGTCCAGCTGGGAAGAGACCAAGGGGTAGACCTAGAACCAGATGGAGGGATTATATCTCTTCGCTGGCCTGGGAGCGCCTTGGGATCCCCCAGTCAGAGCTGGTTGATGTGGCCAGGGAAAAGAAAGTTTGGGGCTCTCTGCTGGAACTGCTACCTCCGCGACCCGACCACGGATAAGCGGGAGAAGATGGATGGATGGATGGATGGATTGTGCTCGGGTTCCAGGTGAAAATTGGTGTATTTATCAATAATAATGCACTATCATGCAGTGGTGAATTGAGTATAGACTATGAAACACGTTTTAATCAACAAATCTTCCACAGACATATAATCTGCCATAAAAAAGATTATAGTTTAGATCCAACCTGATATAACCTTACACGTTGTTTAGTGAAAGGTCTGCTTTGTCTCCATTAAAACATTAATATCAAGCTACTGTATATGGCATTTGGCACAATGTTGCAGAGTGTCTATTGAGATTAGGCCTTAAGGTATTTAAGGAAACTGATATTGCCATTCTTATGTTGATCGCAACATATATTGCAATGTGGAAAAACCCAAGTGAAGCAATTGGAAGCAGAAAACACATAGAGTACTGTAGAGGACAAGCATTTAGCAAAATGTTACCAGGAAACCAATATTTGAAACACGTGTTTTTAAATTGTTCCAACCAGAAAATAGATGTGGTAACCTTTTTTCAGCAAGACCTGAAGGATGAGCCTATTCCGATCATGACCCATATCACGTCCTCTGAGAGGTGGCTCTTGCATGTTCTGACATTGTGATGGCAATGATGTTCATGCCTAATTGAGAGAGCATAATAGTCAGCATGATCCCTCTGATCCAGTATCTTTTGAGGAAGAGTAAATGTGACAGGCCAGAGCTTTGGTTTTAACCAATCTTACAGGTAGCCTCGATGTACTGATCGTCACTTAAAAAGTAACCTGAGTTTTAAGTGTGATCAAGTCGTTTGATTTCGAATGAAAATTGTGATATTCATTTATTTAATCTCTGCACTCAGCTACTGAACTGCTCTGTGCAAAACCAACCTCGCTAACATTTTAAGATCTCCGACCTGAGACTGAGTTGCACCAGGACACTCCAATCCACACTGATTAAGACAGTCGGGGGAACCTGATCTCAGTCAGGGCACAACCCTTTTTAAAAACAAGCATTGGAGCTAGGATCTCCCCGAGTGAAGCAACAGAGTGCATCATCTGATTATTAAAAGTTGTCAGGTTCAGAGTGTAACCCTCATCGCTAACGCACCGGGCCAAGACACTGATCAGATTGATCAACTCAAACTCATTATCTGGGATGTCACCTCCTCACACTGAAGAGCAGCAGCTCCACTAGATCACTTGATGAAGTCTCAGCCTGATATTGATCGTGTTCGCCTACTGAGCTGACCCAATGTAAAACTGCAAGGTAAACTTAAGCAAGTGAAGAGAAGAAAGACACTGAAGGAAAACACAGTTCTCTTCCCCATCAGAACACATCACATTCTGATAACCCACTTTCAGACAGAGAGCATCGCAACAAAACCCTAATTCTGGAATCACAACAATGGGATGGTTTCATTGCATTATGAGGAAAATGTAGGTTTATTACCCTAGATTATAAAAGGACCTTTCATAAAAACAACTAATTATTCTCAAAAAGAGAAAAGATAGATTTAGCTGAAAGCTTATCTCTACCTGGAATCAACAGATGCTAAAACATTGTGTTGCATAATCTCTTAGTCGATGATGGCTTTTTTTTTTATTTAAGAAAGAAAAGCTATCACTATTATTTATTAAATGCTGTGGTTTGAGGCAGTATATTAACTTGCGGGCCCGCTCTTGAGTATAGTCTAGTAGTTTATATTTGTAGCACCTATAATGTGGTGATTCTGTTCTGTTCATATATCTTTGTGTCAGTAATGCTCTTGTTTTCCATGCATTTAAATAGCTCATTACATCGGGTCACAAAAACAGCTGGCAGAACTTTAGTTGTTTCTGTCACTGCACTGGAACGAGTCAGCACTACACTCCCCTCTCTGTTATGCACACATACTGAAACATGATAGGATGTTTATACTAAAATGATACAGCACTGTCTTCTCAAATCACCTTCCAGCTTGTGAAGCCACAAGAATACGGTTTCCCCTCTGATCCTAAATATCTCAGTATAGAGTTTTGATGTTATTTAACCTACAAGTAGGGCAATATTGGAAAAAACTGACATCGCGATATTTCCCCCCCCCTGTGATATATATTGCGATATGAAAAAAAACACAGGAATTGAAGAAAATACCGTTTTTTTTGTCCGCAAACCATCCTTTCTTGAACTTTAATGCTATAAAATTGGCATTTTTCTAACTATATTTAACCGGATGAAGGATTTTAGTCTCGGACGTCTGGATCTTAAGTTATCAGAGCAACAATCTGAGCTAGTTCGGTTAGCAGCGCCAAACTGCCCTGGAGAAACACATGAAACTACTTTATTCAGTGTTTTTACCTGTAATCACCGGGTCCGTTTGCTTTGGAGATTTGATTGTGATTGGTACATGGTTTGCTGTGCATGCAGAGCCTGCATGTCACTCACTCAGTAGTACCCTGTACCCCTGACATGAGAGCCGCGCAAGTTTTCCTTTTGTAGCAAGCAGCAAAATAATTGTAACATGACGCACGTCCTGCGATGTGAATATCGCGCGTGCGCAAATCGCGATTATCGTCACAACGCCATATATCGTGCAGCCCTACTTACAATTACAAATATTTAAACACATAGCAATAAAGCAGCACACAACCATAACAAGAATGATATTTCCGAAATTTCTAGTACTTCTGTTTTGTCGTACACTGAAAAAATACCAGTTAATTTTTTTTTAAACATCGGCAGCTGTGGTGCCAAAGACCTTTGAGCTCTCAGTGCTGAGTAATTGCTCATACCAGCAAGGATTTAATAATTAAGAGATCATTCAGACTCTACACCTTTATTCAAATATCTCTTTGTTGCTAACTGACATGATACCATAAGCAAAATATTATTTCAGAATTTTCTTTTGTGCGTTTTAATGAGTAGCAAAAGGTAATGCAACAGTAAGATGCTCTGATGTAAGTTGTAGACACACTGAGCACAAAACAGCATTGTAAAGTGTATTCTAAGTAATAATGCATGTTTTCTATCTTTAAAGCAGTGTTGTGTTGTGGTACAATGTAATTACCAATCTAATAGCCGATTTCCTTTGAGGTTTGGGATTGGATCCAAGAACTTCAGGGATGTAAAGTGTTTCTGCTAAATTGATGCATCATTTACGACCGTGGCAATTAAGAACACCAACATATTTCTCTGTGATGGTTCTAGTGATCTTCCTGTGTGCTTCAGATTTGAGCATTAAAGGCAGATTGTGATGCTTTGTGCAAAGCTTCTTCAGAAGCTCTTCTCTGGTGCACAACATATCATTAAAAAAGTTTGTCAAAGTGACTAACAGATGGCTTGTACAAATGAGAAGAGAAGTAAGGTAACGCATTATACATAAACGGATGCTTTGAAGCCCATGATGTTCCCCCACTTTTAAGTAGGGTGAATAAAAACTGTATACAAGGTAAATCTCACAAAAACATTATTAACATTCAAACAGACACATGCATGTTGATATTAGGATTTTATATCAATATTTAGCGAACCCGTACTTGCTGTTCAAGAATGCCGACAGTAGACTGTGATAAAAAAAAGTTACATTCCCTAATGCAAACACATGACTCAACCCTGTTGCCTTGCTTTTAAGAGGACAGGATGGCTGTTTTAAAGCCTAGAGTTCCCTGAAACCAAACAGAGGGAAGGTGATTCGATTGATTAACTGTAACCTGTAGCTGGCTCTTCTTCACACAATACGTGATGGTCGGATTTTTCTTATTGTGTTGGTTGATAATTTATTTTTATTTTTATATTGATTATTTTTATATTGATTATTAAGTTTGTTAATTTTCACATTATATTTACATTCAATTTAGTATTTTCTTGCATCAAATGAAACCAGAAAGGAGATATGTTTCTTTCTTGAATATGCTGCAACTTAGGAATCAAGAGAATTGTTTTTTGAAATGTGCTTTTTGATATTAATGTGCAGAATGAAAGTTATGGAAAGACCTCCAAACAGGCAGGCAGTGTTGTTTAACAATTTTTCTGTGCTTTATATTTTAAAGATCAGTAGGGACTAGTTTTTCAAAAAAACTGCCTATTTCTGCGAGTGACATGAGAGGTGCAATCCGGGGCTCTGTGAACTCTAGTTCTACTTTTAGCCCAGCTCCATTATTAAATGCAATATGTGTAGCTAGTTAACTTACCAGTATAGGGAAGCCAGTCAGGAAGTCGTAGATAAAGACGATTCCACTGATCAGGTAGGTGATCTGCAGGGACGTCTTGAGAGGCTCCGATCCATCGATGGACGACCTGCGCTTCCCCTGGGCGTCCTCCACTACTATGGTGGGGACGTTAAACTTGTTCTTGTCAGCCTTGTGGCCCGCCTGAATTGAAAAGGTCTGAAAGAGAGCGATGCCGATGCAGATCACACCCATGGTCACGCTGCCTCCGATCAGCAGCAGAAAGCACACGCCAAAGCCCAGACCGATCTCTGTCACAATGAATCTGCAGTCGGAGGTGTAGAAGCGGTCAATGGTGTCGTGCCAGCCCACAGCTGGAAGCGTGGACAGGATGAAGGAGACCATCCAGATGCCCATCACTGTGTGCACCGCCTGCTTCTTGGTGTTACTCAACCTGGAAGCAGAACGAAGGTGTTAACCTGTTAAGCCTCAGATTGAATGAGTACAAATTATTGTGTCCGTCCAAAAGAAAAACATTACTTATACTGAAAACCACCCTTGAATGATGGGATAGTAGACTAAAAGCTTCAGGAATCCAAACGATAACATATAATAAGTACCCTGTATTAAGATTGATGCAAAACAAGTTAAATGTGACTGCCAAAGGCACACA